ATTGTTGCTGTGCATAAAAAGACATTTTGTTTGGCCACATGATTGAGTTCTGCCTTAACCCAACAAATTTATGTATTCTTTGGTTGTTCAGGGTTTTTCGGGCTCTTTGGCCGTGTTCTGAAGGTTGTTCTTCCTGACGTTTCGCCAGGCTCTGTGGCCGGCATCTTCAGAGGACAGCAACCTGTACTCTGGTGTAGTTGGCTTGGGAGGAAGAACAACCTTCAGAACATGGCCAAAGAGCCCGAAAAACCCAGAACAACCATTAGATCCCGGCTGTGAAAGTCTTCGCGAATATATTATGTATTCTTTCATTAGAGAACATTCAACATGTCACATGCTTTATAATTATTGCACTCCTGATATAAGACTGTTCTGATGCTTGAAGCATTGATCACTCTGAGTAATAGTTTCCAATGAAGGTAGAACCTTTTTACAGCTCTACTGATTAATAAGAAATCCCTCTGTTCATTCTCTTCATAATTAAATATGCCATGCTTTATACATTGAGAAAGGAGCACATAATCCATCCGTGTCTATTAATGTTCCATATCACTGAACCATATGTACTGATATCTGAAGATAACTGGGAGTAGTTGTTTGAACTGAGATAAATTACTATATATAGGCTGGAAAGAATAGAGTCAATAAAATTTGACACATGGGGAAAGAAGGAAAAAGCATTTCTTTTTGGCCCATAGCCAAACAGAGCCCTGTTTAAAAAGCGCTTGCTTCTCGTCTTTTGGGGAGAAAGAGGAGAAAGGAATAATACCTAAGCATCAGGTAACATACTTCACTATGGAATAGATTGCATCATCATCATCATCATCATCATCATCATCATCATCATCATCATCATCATCATCATCATAGCAGCAGCAACTTTTTAGTCAGTTCTGACTTATAACTTTCCAGGGTTTTTTAGATAGAGAATACTCAGGAGTGGTGTATCATTTCCTTCTTGTGGGGGCACCCTGAGACTGTGCAGTTTTTAGTTTCAGGGTTTTTTTCATATTCATTTGCAACACGGAATTGCGTTTCTTTCCCCCACACCTGCAGGAGCCACACACTGGTCTGATGTTTTAAAGGCCTTGTAATCTAGTGCTGGTTGCCCATCAAACCAATTCAATGCTATTCCACCTGGAAATTTATATATATATATATTAAATTGAAAACTTCTTGGGTTAAATAGTTTCAGGTGCCGTGTGGTTTCCTGCCCCCAGACCACCCAATCCTTGCATGTGGATGCATGAATTCCCTCAGATAGCATACCATACCAGACCTCAGAGCAACCCTGTTTAGGGCAATTCACCCTGGGACAATAGGATTCGCTAGTTGTACCCTAAGTGGTGTAGACGGTTCTTGTTCCTTGTTCACTAGAAAATGGCTCTCCTCATATGAGGTCCTGTTATTTACTAGTTGGCCTTTTCACAGAGAAGTGTACATCAGCTGTGGTAGTTGTGAAAGAGCTGTCCAATGTTTCCCTCTGAGGTTACTGTAAACAGCTATTTTACCCAGGCAAGTGAATGTTCAGGTTCACAAATAGAGAATATCAATATATAAAAAGGGCTTTCCTGAAATCTGAAAAAGCATTAACCCTTACAATTTTGATTAGTAGATGTAAAATTTGTGATATTAGAAAAATATGGCCTGTATGTTCCTTCTGTTCTTATATAATTTAAGATTATTATTTTTTGGCATTCATTTTTAAATATTGTGCATTATGCAGGATAAAAATGGCAGTTTTAGGATTCTGTAAAAAGTCCACAGTCAAAAACTGTTCCAAAATCTTCCTTTACCCAGTCCTGGGAGAAATTGTTTTTATAGAGAAAATATCTTCTGTAGTCTTTGTTCATTTACTTGCTAACCTCATCAAGATAATATCATCCATATTCTTGGAAACTAAGGAAGAAAATCACATTTCTTCTTTCAAGACAGGAAACTCTAATTAATGAGAACAGCTTTCACCATAGTATTTGCAAGATAAGATTGTATCTAATCTTGTTTGCCTTTGTAACATATTATTACTAAATATAACAGTATGTTCTTTTTCTATAAGAAAATATTCTTTTTCATGTTCTGCTCTTGTCTCCATGGTGCTATTTGTGTTCTTAGTGCCCTCTGGGAGAGGGGCCTCTAATGGGGTATCTTATCTTTTTTTAAAAAGGAAGATTTCTATTGTGTAGAATGGGATTTTATTTTTATTAGCACAGACATTCTGAAATGGCCTTCCTAAAGAGACCTGAAGGCAATTTTCTTGTTTAAGTGTATAGTTTAAACCTTTTTATTTAGTCATGGATTTTAATGTTACATTCTTGGGAATGTGTTATTCACAGACAAAAAGACTATTTAACCTACTAGTATTTTGCCTGTTGCCATCTACCTAATTTATGCATGTTTATTTGTTGCTGTACCTTTGCTTATACAGCTTTTTTGACTAAAGGTTTAATTTTAAAATCCTATAATGAATAATCATTAAATAGCAGGTGGCCATCTCCAACTCAGACACTGCCATAAATCCCTAGCACATTCCTATCATTGTCATAATGTAGTTTTATGTTAGAAAACTGAAGCACTGTTATTTTCATATGACAAATATTTTTAAATTAGGGTTTCACTTAGCAATGCATGTAGTGACTCCAAATTCTTGTAATAATCCCAGAGTCAAAATCGTCACAGTGATGTCCAAGGTCTGGTAGGAGAGGAATAAGAAAAAGATTATCTTTGGCCATCTTGAGGTAAATAATTGTAGACCAACATCTCTAAGCAAGTCCATGGTATACATAATGCTTAGAACTTTCTGTTTGGAGATCTTAGAAATAAAATGTACAAATTTTGCATGATTTTTACACAAGCTGGTATAAAGTGGACAGAACTCTAGTGCTCAGGTGGCCGCCGAAGGAGACAGGAATAATATTCAGAATACCCGTCGCTGGGTATTTTTAAGACCCATCTCAAAACTTGGATGTTCAAGCAGGCTTTCCCTCCAGATAACTCTTAACCTTTTCTTCCTTAATTTACTTTTTGTTATATTGGCATCTTGAAAATATGTCTACTGGTTATTGTTGGCTGCTTATTGTTATTGTGCATAGTGTATTGGTTTTTTGTTATATGTACATTTTATTGTGTTTATATGTTTGGAAGCTGCCTAGAGTGGTCATTTTGAACAGATAGGTGGGGTATAAAATCAATCAATCGATCAATCAATACAAGATGTGTAACATCTACCCATTTTTAATATTTATGTGGTTTATGCTCTGACTAGAATGGATGAATAGGTCTGAAGCCGCCTAGAGTGGTCGTAATGACCAGATAGGCGGGGTATAAAATCAATCAATCAATCAATCAATCAATCAATCAATCAATCAATCAATCAATCAATCAATCAATCAATCAATCAATCAATCAATCAATCAATCAATCAATATAAGATGTGTAACATCTACCCATTTTAAATATTTATGTGGTTACCCTGAATTACTCAGGTTGCACTGGGAAAACACTGAGAATTGTTAAATGTAGTACTGAGAAAGCCCTGAAACTATAATATAAAATAGTCAATATGATATAGACAAATGAAAATAATATCAATAAGACATTAAAATAAAATAAAATAACTTCAATGTGATGAGCTATACCAGTTTGAAGCTCTTTGGTTTCTATTTATTTGTTCAGCAGAACAAAGTGAAGATGAAAGGAAAAAGCTCCAACTATCCAAGGCAATATACAAAATAATCAATGTGGTTACTTTACTAAAACTAGAACAAATATAGTAATAACAATGCATTAATAGCTAATGTTATGTTCTGCTGAACAGTAGTATTACATTGATTAAAATGCCTTGATTAGTCAGTGCAGGGGATGATGGTAATGGTATGCTCAGTTACAGTATCATTTTTGTTGTATAAGTAATAGTCAATTTTCATAAGATTTTCAATGTAGTCTATGATACTTGTTAAAAATGAAGGGGAACAAACTAATCCCAAACTATTCTTTAAAACACTACCGCATTGAAAACATTTGTATTCTCCAATCTTAATACGAGGTAGATATATGTAGATCTATACGGTTTTAGTAGATATATTTAATTATAAGTCAGTACAGCTAGCTGCCTTCCGACTGCTATAAATCTCTTCCATCCGTTAAGGATCTCTAAAGACTTTGGAAAGGCAAGTCCCACATAAACATGACCTAGCATGGTCTTGGGCTTAATCCAAGCCCACTATAGTAATCAAAAGTTATTATGCAGTTTTTCTCCCTCTCCCTCCTTAAAAGAGCATTTATGTATGTGTATGGTACAAAAAGAGGGGAAGTTGCACATAGCGCTATGAACCCACATTTTAACAATGAAATATGTTGACATTTGGACAGCTTGATAGATGCCATGTTGGAATCAAGGCAGTTGCACAATAAAAGCCTCATCTGGAAGCCCCTGCACATTCTTGGCTGGCGTTCCCAATCTCCCTTGCCTGAGTTAGATGTGGTTTGAGAAGGCCACGGTTCCGCGTACTGTGCCATAACTTGTGCAGTTTGGCTCACATAGTATTGTCCACTGGTTATAAGGCAGAATTTGTAACGTGAGTTTTGAGACATCCCGTTTTTAGACTTTTGAGTAGTCAGGAATAATGCCAGATTTCAGCTTGCAAATGTGTCAGACAAAAACCAAAGACAAAAATGTTGTGGCACCTTAGAGACTAATGGTGATGTTTAATCTGAACTTTTGTTGTTCAAATCCATGCCCTCAGAAATTAGAGCAAGATTATATGATAGACACATATAATCTGTATATTTCTGTAAATATTTATGTTTTGTAAATAGTTGTTTGAATGAAAACAGAGGCTTAATTTGCAAGTCTGGTTGGCTAAAGTTTCCAAGAAAATCCTTTTCTAAGGAAATCCTCTTCTGGGAGGAAAATAACATAAAGGGTTAGTAACAGGAAGTACCGGTACTCATTCCCATTAATGTCTAGCTTGACACTAAAGCTTTTGTTCATTACTTTGCAGGTCCTGCTTTGTATAACATTCACTCCAACATTTGAGCTAAATGGGAGTTCCATACTTAAGATTGCTGAGGTGAGTATCTTTTTTTCCTCTGGAAGTTACACCTGGGTTATTTAATAAAAATAATCAAAGTGCTGTCAAATAGAACATATCTTTTTAACAGTCCAGTTGAAATTTGAAATTTGGCCATTGTGATCTGCTTTCACATCTGTAAACAAAACATTCAAGGAAGAGCACCCATTTATTTATCAGGCCCTTGACTTCTCCCTTCATTTCTCTGTTTTTCTTTAATGCTCTTTTCTCTTTTCTGCACCTGGTACTGATTCCCTTGCAGGCAGAAGCTGCAGAGGGGGTAGTGTTTCCCCACTCCTCACACACACTCTTAGGCAGTTCATGAGGACAATGAAGATCCAGTGAGCACCTATGGATCTCTGAAAAAGTTTTGCTAACATTTTATTGGCTAGATCAAATTTTAATGGTGGTTGTACTTTTATTTGTTGTCACAAATGTTACAGCCTCATCACAAGTGTTCAGGACCTATATGTCAATGAAGCAAGGAAACCTCCTCCATTAAAATGGGGGTGGGGATGTGAACACAAACAAGTAGTGTAGTCAGTTAGGTTAAACATCTAGTCCTTTTCTTTGGCGTAGTATTGTGGCATAAAGGACATTGCGAGCTCATTCAAAATGCTCTGTCTATAATAGAGCTGTACATTTCTTATGTTCTTACCGTACAATCGATACGAACACCATGCTGCTGTCATTTCTCCCTCCCTCCCTCAGGTTTGCATTGAAACCTATGTGTCCAGTTATCATCAGCGGAGTATTAATACAGCTGTGCGAGCAACCCTTAGCCAGATGTTGAGTGATTTGACTGTACAGTTACGGCAAAGGCAAGAGAATACGGTGAGTTTGATGTTATCAGTAGATAAGATCAGTGTTTCCTGCTTCTGCTGCCCATATTTTATTTTAAAATGGCCTAAAGTTTCAAGAGCCATGATTTAAAACAGCCCATTAAAGCCTTCCTCCAAACTAAGCCGAACTTTAATAGGCTTGAAAATTCTTCCCTAATTTAGGCGTCATCTAAACCAGTGGAGAACATTGACTTTTATGATTTCCATCCCAAGATGCACTTCCAGAATTGCTAATATATCTATAATCTGGCCTCAGTAAATATTGCTGTTTTCCTTCTATCCATGCTAATGACAATGCATTTATCTTTTCTCAATAGATAATTGAGAGCCAAGGAGTTCTTCAGGGGTTCAAGAGCCCAGGTATCTCTTAATTACTTTATCCCTTACTTAGAAGCTGATCGATTCCTCCATCCTTCAAGTTTCTTTTTTCTCATACTTATGCAAAACAGTCAGGCATTTTAAATTTTCTGTTCATGAGCATTACCTTACTTCTTCAGCCATCATGACAGTCTTTCAGAGTGAATGGTGTTTCCTTTTGTTCCCATAACACTGCCAATCTTTATGCTATACTACTTTCCAATGTGTACTTACTTCCAAATCTATAGTGCATGTAATTTCTAGCATTGTGTAACCAGCATAAAAAAGGTTGGCTCCAGCAAATGAGCCACCACAAAGAGGTAGCTAAGGCATGAGTGCTGTGGATTCAGAGAATGCACATCAAAATCCCGGAAGCGTGCACCTTTCTTCAGAGATCTGATAGAAGAATTTATGCCTTTGAATTGCCACTAGTCTCAGTCATACTATAAAACCATTAGAATTGAATGAGTACATTAAGAGCAATTAAAATCAACAAAGAATATAGACATCCTATACCAGTCCACAACGTTGTTTTTTACTCTGTTCTTAAAATCAGTCAGGAAGGAAACAGATCACAGCCCGGAAGGGAATGCATTCAGTAGTGGCAGAACCACAACAGAAGCAAGCTCTCTCCTGTGAGCTTCTTGATGTCTTTAAGAGAACCTTTCCTGAAGACCTACAAGGGGAATGTGTGAAGCTCTATAGGTCCTTCTATATGCTCTCTCACCAATGCTATATTCAAAACATTCTGCCAAAGCAGTAGTTGGGAAGCAATGGAGGCTCCTGTACAGACATTCCAAAGAAGAGAATGCTTCTCTTGTCATACTGGGTTCCCACTGCACTGTCTTTATCAAGTCCACAGTTACAGAAGTTGAGATGGTTCTGCAATTGTGTAGTTAAATGTGAGGATTGGCCTAAAACATTTTGCTGCTTGAGGCAAAAGGTAGTATATTCTTGATCCATCCAGTAGCAGGCTGGACAGGTAGTTGAGTTTTCTTTCAATTCTGGCCAGTTTAGTGGTGCAGGATTGGCAATGTCATACAGACAGAAGGGAGAAATTGAGGGCCTTCCACTTAACTGAGTGTCAGCTGCTTGACACAGTTGCCTCCTCCTGCCTAGTGACCTCTTGCATGTATGTTGCAGCTAATGTGTGCCCTTTGTCCTGTTTCCAGATTCAACAACAGAATCCCTTTGTGATGATGTTGTCTCAGTTTTTGCCGTTCTTTGTGAAAAGCTTCAGACAGTCATCAGGTAAATGGGTTTTCATGAAGTGGTGGAGAGTCGGCCATTGTACCTAGCCAGGATTGCTCTTGTAGTATTCTGTGGGTCCCCTACCCCATCCCAGAATTCTAGGGATCTTGGTTGCTATATCTCTCATTTTAAAGGACAGGCTTGTAACTTTCATGCATACAGAGAATAGCTAGAAAAACTGTGTACTAACAACATGACTTCCATTTCTGATGCAAACTGTGCCTCCTGGGCCACACCGTTCCATGTAGTGTTTGCAGAAGCCTCAAGAGTTGGCAATCAAAACATCTTATGAAATGTAAGGGCTTAGTGCAGATTTTCAGTGAAGAAAAACTGTTTTTGCTAGCTGTAGACCTATGGGCAAAGCTATGCATAATAAAAGTTATTGACCCACAGTTCTTTTTACTGGACCTTCTGGTGGAACTTCAGTTTGCTTCTACCTTGGCTTGATTTTGAAGAGTCCCACAATGAGTCTTGCAGTATTCCTTTCAAATAAAAATGCTCCATCTAAGCATTAGTCTTTTTTGATGAGACAATGGCAAGCCAGCTTTTATTCCTGGCCTACATGTAATCAGCCCAATTAAGTGCAGTGCTCTTTGATGTGTTGCACTGCGGGATATGAAAAGCGTCATGGAAAGACTGAGGAGTGAATTGGGTAACTCTAGGTTATACATATTGTACTGGAAAAGCAGAGGTCTAGTTCTCTCAGTAGTACTTTTTTACTTGTGCATCCTTTATTACATCTGGAGACTGTAATTACTTTCACAGTTGTAATTATAGGCAGATAGTATCTCTCTGGTTTTGTTAATACTAAGGAGCTTATTAGCAATAGTAGTGTTTATATTTATTTTAATTGTATGTGCATTCTTAATTACTGTAATAGTAGCTTGTTAGTGTAGTTTCTTGTTATTATTAATACAGAACAGTATGTGTTGTTACTGGCTTGCCAGTGCAGTTGTCTTGTATTATTAATACTGCACAGAAGCATATATTTCCCAGTGTTATCATACAGTCAATTGCAGTTGTTATGAGGGGCAGTATTTGCAAGGTCGCTCTTTTGAATGACTGATAAGGCAGTCCTTACTTGCTTTTCCATACCACAATAATGTCACCACCAAAATGAGCTCAGTAAGATGAGGATACAGTTTCCTTCATGCAGGGTCAAGGGCAACTCTGCCCCAATCCTCCAGGACCCACAGAGGCTGCTAAGTTGCTGTAGGGTTCTTACACAAAGACTGCTTCTCTCACAGATTAGCAGGAGCAGGCCGTGGCAATGGTAGCTTCCGGTGAGGAACACCAGTTCTTGGACTGCTTAAGGTGTTGGAGAACTATTATTCTTAAGCTGAAATAGAATACAACACATCCATCTGGTCCACCTGATCAAGTAAAGGCAAGCAGGACCAATAAAGCCAACAAATAATGTGCCAGCAACACAATGCATTTGCAAATGGAAGCCAGGTGATGGTAACAAATAATGAGAAGTTACTTTTGAATAATAACATTCCAGGCTCTTATATGTAGATCCAGCTGCCCTGCTTCTGTCAAGACCAGGCACAAAAGACAATCCAAAGAGGCATTGTAGTGATACCTATTTTTTGCCTCTAGATGCCGTCTTGTAGGAAATCCCTCTCTCCATATATCATTATTTTAAACTACTAAAGATTTTAAACTACTAAAGCTAGAATAGAATGTCTTAGTGATTCATCATTTACAACCATTACCTTGACAGAGGGATAATATAATGTCTGAAATCCGGTTGTATGGTGAAGTAAGTCAAACTGAAGTAGAGCTGTTGAATTAGTGGTTATTTGTTGAGTCAACCCTTAAAATGAATTGATTCAAATAGGCTTGCTTTAGTTGTGACTTCCTAAATTACACTAGACCCATTTGAATCGATGTAACCTATGGAGGAGTTGACTCACTAGATCTACACTTTATGTACAGCGGGCCTACTCTGGTGCTGCATATTGCACTAAGCAACAGGATTGCAGCCAGTGTATATTTTAATTTGTCTCTTCCCAAGAATTCCCTGGATTTTTCACTGAAATATATTTCAAAACATTAAATCATGCAGCTCCACTATGTTATATTGCTCTTCTATACCTTAATAAGATGTACATGTGTGGTTTGGATGTTAACTAAGTTTTATTTGTAATGCACTTCTGTTTGTTCTAGAGAAACATAATGTAGCTTAGATATTTGACATTTCTAAAGCAAGAGTTACTCCAGAGAAAATCTTGTCCTTCCTATAGTACGCCAACCTTGGCATCATTTTTTTTTTGAAAAGCCAGATTCAGCAGTTTTCAGGACAATGGGCCATAGGTTGATTTCATTATTTTTGCACCATGTTATTTTTATACCAAACATTTGTCTGAAGGAAGTGAAGCTACAAAGGAAGCATAAAAGGGAGTCAACATAACTTTCCTGCCAAGGGAGTCTACACTGGGTCTACCTCTGCTGCCCTTCCATTGGCAAACACATTTTTTTAACTCAGGCAATGTAAACCTCCCTTTTATGTTTGTTGTCTTTAGTATACTTGTTTTGAAATGTTATGTTTTAAGTAAAACTTGTTTTTATTCTTAGTCCTATTTTTGTATATACTGTACTGCTAAAAGCATCTTTTTCGGAAGGAGAATTTGGGGTATATAAATAATGCAATTATATCATTATTTTTGCCCCACTCCTTCACGGAAGATCCCTATACAGAAGCAGACATATGTGTACATACAGTAGTTGCTGTGTATCTTCCTGTACATCAGAAGGTTCACCTGAGATTCACAGAACGTACTTGACACATCTCTAATGGTCATGAAAAAAGGTATCCCCATCCAAGAGTATGACTAGAACACAACCAGAGCCTGCAAAAATGAATGGAAGAGCTTTTACTTGGTGTATTGTTATTAAGAGAAAGAGAAGTAGAAGCTTAACCCTCTCCTGCTGAAATGAATGGGTTACCAAAAACAGTGACAAAAACATTGTTTTAAATGTTGTGAAGTGTTCAGATGGCCTGATGTAATTCACATTTTATGAGTAAGCTGACAATATGATGCCTCCATCTTCATAATAAATTCATTTTTCTCTTTAGGTTAAATGGACTCCAGATAATTGCATTCAACTGTTCTCCTTTTCACTTGCTCAGTAGAGAACCTTCCTTTTGTGATACAGGAGGAATTATCCTCTGTCTTTTCATTGCCGCTGTGCTTAACGAACAATGAAAGGTTAATTGTTTTCTTCCATTTTGTCAGTGAGAATCAGCAATTGCAGCTTCTCTACCTGGAATGCATCCTCTCAATGCTGACTAGTTCCTCTCCCAGCATGCGTCACCATAAAGGATTCACTGACCTCATTTGGTAGGTTGGCCTGTGTTCAGCTATTCAGCAAACATACTAGAACTTTAGCCATGCATAAAAGGACTTGGATTTTCATATATGAGCAAAGATGAAATAGTTTTTATTGCAGTATTTAAAAAAAAGAAATAGTATTATGGGAGGGGGGTAGGCTTTGATGTATCATGCTATGAAACTGCTCCAGGACTGAAATGCAAGAGCTTTCTTTCCATGCATTATAACATTGGGACTTAGAACAGACATCTTCTGCTTGCCTAGTGGCATATTGTGTCTGGAATGGAACCACAAGCAAGTCAGGCACACATGCAGGTTACCGGTACATTGTAGTGGCTGAAGGACAGAGACCCAAAGGATACATTTATGTATACATTCAGACAATTTTTTTTTTAAAAAAAATGTTATTGCACTTCAAAAACTAACAGGTAGCCTTGAAGGTGCCCTAACACTTTTTAATGTTTAGTTTTGTCTGGCTCTGCTTGCATAGGCTAACCTGGCTACTTTTTAAAAAAAAACACTACATTTATGTACAGATGCATCTTCCATTGCTGCTGTTTAATTTTTGTTGGCTTTTTCAAAATGTCGAGGTCAGAGGATGAGGACTTGTTTTGCTGGCAAAGCTGCTTCCATCAGCGGAACGAGGATGAGAAACAATTCCACCCCTTCCTTACCACCCCACATGAATCCTTGAAATCTCTTTCAGATGGCTAAGCAGTTCTCCAGAGCAGGTTCTCAAGGTGCATGCAGAGCAGCATGGCAGCGGCGGGGGGGGGGAGTACGAGTATAAAGTTTTATTGTGCTAGCAGTAAACTACGATCATAGGACAGCTTACTCTCCAGTCATCTCATTTATCCACATAACCATAATTATGTGGATGATTATTGGTTGTCAATGTAAGAATACAACATTTGTTTGTTTTTCTGTACCATCTCTTTGTTTATTCCACTACCACCTCTTTTTACTTGTCAGGAAACAGTTGTGCCCAGCCCTGGTAGTTATCTTGGGAAATCCACTCCATGACAAAACCATCACCTCCGCTCACAGCAGCAGCGGCCATGAGGCTGACTCTCCTTCCTTGGGGGTCTCTGATCATGGCCGCGGGTCTGGCTGCTCTTCGACTGCACCTGCCCTCAGTAGCCCTGTGGCCCGGACCATCTATTACATCGCTGCAGAACTCGTGCGTTTAGTGGGGTCGGTGGAGTCCATGAAGCCTGTCCTGCAGTCCCTTTACCATCGGATGCTTTTATATCCCCCACCCCAGCACAGAGTGGAAGCTATCAAGATCATGAAAGAGGTGAATTAACCAGTGAAAGGTTTTGGTTCGTTTATTTCTTTGTTTTTTCTCCTTGACTTCAAGGAAAGGACAGCAGCATGTTTTGTTTGTTTGTTTGTTTTTGTACCCACTGCAAACTGTTTCCAAAGCCAGTCAGAGAATTTGGTTATTGTGCAGCTTAAAAGGATAGGTAGGTGGATGCAATGGTAAAATGAATAGTTGGGGGGGGAGGAAATATTTTTGAAACAATTGTTATCAAAATACGTGGGAATTAAAACGTTTTCAAGTTTTACCTCAATTTCAGTAGTGATGGGGATTCTCTGGGCAGTTGGATTCTACCTGTATGAAAGACCCTTCTCTGACTCCTACACCATTTTACAGTATTCAAAGAAGGGATACGAAGCAGGGTTACCACAGTAGATCCAATGAAGTAGGAGCGGAGATGTGTGATGTCTCACAGATAGTACAAGCCACTGCTGTAGGCAGCTGGTGCCTCCAAGCAGATACAAGCTTACTGTGATAGCTGCAACCAACTCCTATGAATAAACTGTCTGCATTCTCCACTAGCTGAACTATCCTGATCAGCTTTAAGGGTAGTCCTGTGTAGACCATTCGTGTAATAAGTCATGGTCAGGGCAATAAAACTAACAAAGATGCAACCACAGCTAGCTTAGCAGCCTATCCTGAAGTAAAGGGAATAGGCTACTCCTGTTGTTTTCTTTAGTGCTTCCAGGTGACTACTGAGAATAGAGATAGATCTGCCAAAATATGAAGTAATTTGCTCAGCATTCAGGGAACTGATAATTAGTCCAGGAGGGTTTGAGGAATATATGTATCCAGGAAATATATACACAGGAGTGTCAATGGAAGCAGGGTCATAGAATACAAACTTAGAATGACACGTTACATAGCTATTGTTCACCATAGTAGAGTACTTTTCTTTGTGTTGCATGATCCAGTTGCCGTGTTGTGAGTAATCATGCTAAGGGCCGTTTTGTTACATAGCAGTCCTGTACAGACGTCCTACTGAGATCAATAGGTTTTAACTTCCAGGTTTGTAGGTGCAGGGTTGTAATCTAAAGATGATTTTGTTCCACAAGATCCCTCAGGTCCATCTCTGGAACATATTTGGAAAAGTGAAATGCAAATAAAATTGGCATTGACGAAATTGGCATCGCAGGGAAAATGTCTACAGAGGAAAACATGGTGATGCTGATGAGAATTAAATGTAATGGTTGAAATTGCTTTGGCTTTTGCTGTTGCCCTCCACCATAGTTGTAAAAGCAAAACTAGTAATGCAGCAATGCTGCTTTGCTACCACTTCATGCCATGGCATTAGTCTGATTAATATATCATCAGAATCTGTTTTCCCCGCATTTATTTCTTTCTGATTACAGTAACCAAAGCCATGTATTAAAATGTATATTAAAATGGCTCATTCACAGCAGCTACTCATAGACTCATGGCCAGATCTTCTCCTCCTTTGTGGTCATGTGGGACTGCATGTTGTCTGATGGGATATTGTCTCTTTTTGTGATAATATTAAGTGGAACATGTGAACTGCTTGCAGTGGTGCCCCGCATGACAACCATAATCCGTTCTGTTAAAATCGCTGTACAGCGAAATCGTTGTCATGTGAAAAAAAAAACCATTGGAATGCATTGAAAACCGATTAATGCATTCCAGTGGGGGAAATACCTGATTGTCCTGCGAAGTTCCTCCATAGGGCGGCCATTTAGTGATTGCTGTCTTGTGAAAATTGGTCCGGAAAACAGCGGGGAGCCATTTTGCGGACCACCGATCAGCTGTTTAAAATTGTCGTCTTGCGAACAATTGGTTCGCGAAGCACGGACCTAATCGTCGTTAAACAAAAATCCCCCATGGGAAACATTGTTTTGCGATCTCTATAGTGATTGCAAAAAAGTCATCTTCAAGCAATTTCGTCGTCATGCGGGGTAAGCGTCTAGCAGGGCACCACTGTATCTATATGCTGTCCCTTGAGGAATAAGGCGAGTTTCCTTAAAGGGCCTCTTAGAAAAATTCAAAACAGGATCCTTTGTGAGTTCAGCATGCACAGCACCACTCAGTCAGCCTTGTTCACTTGTATATTTATTACATTTATGTTCTGCTTTTCATCCAAAGAGCTCAAAGTATTGCACATGACTCTCTTTCTCCCTGCCTTATCCTTACAACAATTCTGTGTTATAGGTTAGACTGAAAGATACTGTGAGCCCAAGGTCACCCAGTGAGCTTCATGGCCCAGCATTAGTTTTAGTCTCACTTCCCAACCCATACTTGTCATATGTGCCTGTATATACTCTAAAACTATCAGTGGCAGAAATCCTGTTGAATCGTTATGTAGGCATAATGTTGAGTTATGCTTACATTAGGGACAATAGTGCCAAGGTGGAAGTGCTGTTTACAAAGCATTTCTACTGATGTCTTGCACATTCATTCAAAACAGGGACCGTGTGACCAATTGCGCAGTCAACTTGCTCAGTCCTTGTTGACGGAGTGGAACACCCAACACATTTACACCGTCATAACATTACATTATGCCTGGACAAACAGGATTCCAAACAGTGCTTTGCAATCTAAATATAGAGTCCCTACTTTAAAGAGCGCTTACAAATTGGTTCAGGGTGTTCTTGGGCATATCAGACTATTGGAGAAATAAAACTGCCTTCCAGTGCTGTGCATTTTATCTGAGCTGCATGAAGTATTTATTTTTTTCATACGGAGATGAACTGTATTCTGTTTAGATACTTGGCAGTCCTCGTCGCTTCTGTGATTTGGCAGGCCCCTGCTCCACTGAACCAGAATCCAGGAAGAGGTCCATTTCAAAAAGAAAATCCCATCTGGATCTTCTGAAACTGTATGCTCCATTTCTTAATTTGAGTCATATTTTCACCTAACCACTTAGAGGACTATCATATTATTGGCTAAGTTTTCTTTGTTAAAGAAGAAAGAAGAAAAATAAAATGAAAAAAAACCTGAATGCATCTGATTTATAGCATTCTAATTAATACATAATATGTTAATTAGAACTAGTTCTAATTACCTTCCTCATTAAAAACTGATCAAAGAGTTTACAATTTGAGTTTACTCTTAAATTTAAAAAATATGTAGAAGGCATTTGAGGGAATGGGAAGAGTTCTGACACTGGAATCCACAAGATTTTATCACTAGAACTTTGAACTGCTATGTACATATCGGATAGTACTTAGATGAGGCCAGGTCTATCCACCATTTTATATTCTCCTTGCTTTTCAGTCGCAAGCAGTGCACCTACCCCTGTTTCTTCCCAGGTCTGAGGATGATGTCGTCCATGGTAGCTTGCCAGGCTAGACTTCCTTCTCGGCTCTGTGAAGTTCCTGAATCAAGAATCCCTGGCTGTTCTCTGTACCTTTGGCAAGAAAACAATTGAGATTTCAGCAAGAATAAATGGTTGCAATTGGAAAAAAAAACATGTTATCTTCAGATTTTTTTTTTTTAAAAAATGATTTTTGTATTGATTACTTAAAAGTAAGAAGAATCATGTAACAGCTAAAATGGAGATTTAATAGGTCTAAACACAGATTAGAATAATGTAAACAAGGGAAAGGGGGGGAAAGAAATGGAAGCATGGAAGAAGAAAAACAAAACAAGAGTGTCTACACGTAGGCTTCTATAAAAGGCGTCCAAATATAAATATATATATCCATCTGCAATAGCTATCTATATACCATATGTTTGTATATCAACAACGTTGTAAGGTCTTCTGTCCACTGGGTGATTGGTGGTGGGCATTTTTCTTTCCAGTGTTGCAAATAAGTCTTTTTTGCATTTATAAGGGCATAGTGAGTCCATCTGCATTCATCATAGGCATCCTTCGGTCTCGAGAGACCATGATAACATGCTCTGAATTGAGGAGTGTCCTCTCCAGAGCATGAAGCCCGGGTAAAGTAATATGGAGGATATTCATATTCATTCTATTCATGTGCTAAGTAGAGGTTAATTGTAAAGAGCGAAAAAGCACATTCTTTCTCCTTTTTATCACAGGACCCTTCCCCCACCTTCTTCCCTTATTAATGCTGTGACTTTATAGCATGCCTAGTGCAGCAAAGGAAAAAAAAAACAGCAATGATTTTTCTTCTTCTTCATTTCATTTTAGGATCCTGGATGGGATGACAGAAGCTTGTATCAAAGGTGGCATTGAAGCATGTTATGCCTCAGTGTCTTGCGTCTGTGCTTTTCTTGGTACTTTAGATGAGTTAAGTCAAGGAAAAGGCCTGGAGGAGGAACAGGTCCACCTGCTTCTCCGACGCTTGGATGAACTGAAGGATGGGGCTGAGACAAGTAGAGATTCCATGGAGATTAATGACGCGGATTTCAGGTGGCAAAGACGTATCCTCTCCTCAGAGCATACTCCCTGGGATGCAGGCACTGAGAAAAGTCCTGACATTAGTATTAGTGTCACCACAGATACTGGTCAGACAACATTGGAAGGTGAACTTGGGCAAACCACGCCGGAAGATAATTCGGAATTGCGCAAAAATTCTCTACATTCGCCAGCTGGACAAGCAGGCAAAGAAATTCACTATAAAGACCCAGAATCTGAAATTGTTGACCAACCAGATGTTGTTCAACGGAGCCATACAGTTGTCTATCCAGATATCACTAACTTCCTGTCCGTAGATTGCAGGGCACGTTCCTGTGGATCCAGGTACAGTGAGAGCAATTTCAGCATAGATGACCAGGATCTTTCAAGGACTGAGTTTGACTCATGTGACCAATATTCTATGGCAGCAGAGAAGGATTCTGGAAGATCCGATGTTTCAGACATAGGTTCAGACAACTGCTCATTAGCTGATGAAGAGCAGACGCCAAGAGACTGTCCAGGACACAAGTCTTTACGGACAGCAGCCCTTTCCTTGAAACTGCTAAAGAACCAGGAAGCTGATCAGCACAGCGCTAGATTCTTTATCCAGTCTCTTGAAGCTCTCCTCCCTCGGCTAATAGCACTTCCAAAAGTAGAAGACGTTGATCTGGCCCTCCAGAACTTCTCCTCAACTTTTTGTTCAGGTTTGTGAAAAGATTGTTTGCTTTACAATCAGTATTAAATTAATTTCCACAGTGTCTTTTTGGAAATACCTATTATGGAACATCAATGATTAAGAATCTGTGATACATCAGACATAGCAACCCAGTCCAGTCATTTCAAAATTGTATTTATTTACACAGATAAATAGGAGTATTGCAGCCCTACCCCTTGTTTTGCTGTCCTACACATGGAAGATGATTTGTCTGAAAAGGAGAGCCTCTCCATCCATGGGTGCTCTCTCGTATGAGAGTTGGGACACTGATTTTTCCAGGTCTCGACCCACTTGGAGAGTGCTCACAGCAGAAAGGTAGCTTTCTTCAGATGAATAATGGCAGCATTGGGAACAGAGCAGAGCAGAGATGTAGCATTGCATTGTGTCCATGGCAAATAAATATACTATATTGGAGTGACTGAATGGTCTTGTATCTAGTTATGTTAAAATTCATCCACATTCTTGAGCACTGACATAGCTAGTTACAAGCAACATAGTTACCTATAAGTTGTTACTTTTTGTTAGTTACAAGCAACATAGTTACCTATAACTTGTTACTTTTTGGTTGGCAATCAATGTAACTAATAGGTACAAAGTTACTGTTTTGATGCAACAGGTAAATACCTATGTTATTTATGCATAACAAGTACCACCTAGTTACTTTCAAATGTTACTTTTAAAGAGACCTTGAAAGCATTTTTAGAGACATTATGTCAGATGTTTATGACATTCTCTTATTAGTCCTAAGTGATAAGGAAAATATTCTTTGATTTTGTCTTTTTTATTTTTCTGTTTCCAGGGGGAATTGGAATTGGCTACTAGAAGAAACCAATTAATATTTTTCTGTGCTTTGTGTGTGTGTGCGTGCGTGTGCTGCTGATTATGGCAATGAAACATGCTAATAAAGCACAGTGCAACAAATTACTTGACTGTCCAGAGTAACCATATAACAACCTATTGGCTTATTAGTAAATAACACGGTAACAAGTCCCTTCTAAAATATAACATTTCAAGCTGTCTTCTACTTATGGATCAATTCTGTGGAGGGATCGTAGTCTTCTTTCCTCAAAAAGAGCTAATTTACAAATCCTTATCTTTATGGACTTCTGAAAATCTGTTGACGGGGTGCTGAATACCTATCTTGTTTTCTCATGGATTTTTCCTATAAAATCCATGGGGAGTCTTCATGCTGATTTAAATGCTTCTGTGTGTATTTCAGTGTTAGATAGGTCATGTTTAAGATCTGCCCGTTATATATACACTGTTTTAACAAAACTTTTCAGCCACCATCACATTTCAGCGACATATTTCTATGGAGTATCTAATCAAAGTGCTGATTACATAGGAGTTTCACTGGTATTTATGAATCTTAAACACTAATCCACTTTTAGAGGCGATTCTTCCATTAGCCATAAATCCAAATGTTTCTGTATACTTGACTGCTCAGAATGAAGCTGGATTTTCATGCTTAGTCAGATTTTAGAAGCAAGCTGTTTCATAGACATATACAGCTAATTCGTTGTGCACACTAATATGATGAACTGTTTTGTATGCAAAATTGTTCCATTAAGGATGTTGGAGAAACCTTCCCATATGTTCTGAAGGAGCTCTTTGTAAAGCTGTGTCAACACCAGTGTTGAAATGTGCTTCTGTTGTGTAGGGTCAAGCTTTGTGGACTTCTGTGCTGTGATACAGGTCATGCAGATCACATGGCTTTCCATCCCTTTCTCCTCACTCTTTCGAATATTATCCTTATTTCATGACTTTTAACTTACACTTTCCACTTATGTGCTTGTATAAAAAATGTGGTTGTTGGATCACATAATTCTATATCCCTGTATGTAAACATGACTATTCTATAGATTTGTTACTTTTCTTTTCTTTTTTAAAAAATATTTTATTGTATTTTTTCCACTTTTCTATCTGTTGCAGCCAGAGTGATCCATTACAATATGTTCCATTCATTTAATCTTCTCTTATACTCTCTAACATAATATTAATCTAATCTAGTCTACTTAAATTGGTGTAGATTTCTACTTAAATTGGTGTAGATTTCATCCAGGTATAAAGAGGTTCCCATTTATTATTATCCAGTCTGTCATTTAGTGTATCTGTCAAAATATCCATTTCTGCTAGTTCCAAAATCTTCTCAATAAATTCCTTCTTTGTCGGCTTTTCTTTTCTTTATCGCATTAGTGTCCTGCCCTTGGCATACATGGTGGTCATTCAATGTGTGCATGTGAGAAAGAGAAAGAGATGGTGCAGAAAGCATCAGGACTTCTCCAAACCAAATCCAGCATTCTGATTATTACACTGGAGCATTTAACTCATTGTGACTCCCCTTCCAAAGCTGGGAAAGTGTTTTTAAGATCAGAGCTCTCCGAATCCACTAGCCATGCTGGCCTGAGGATTGTGGGAACTGGTGTTCAGAAAAGTAACTTTCCCAAGCCTTGCACCTATTTCCCTTCAACTAGAGCAGCCTGAAATGAGGATTTTGCAAGGCAATTATGTGTTACCGAAAGGTGCACTGCAGTTCAATAACTGTAATTTGCCATGAGGAGAAAAAATTGCTTTGATTCATAAAATTTGGATTTCTGATATATGTCACCTCTTGTTATAACTGCATGTTCGTTAGGTATGATGCAGTCTCCAGGATTCGAGGGGAATGCCGGTTTTGGCTTCCAGACACTGATGAATGCTGACAGTCTCTACTTGGTCTCTCATTACACTCTTCTTTTGAACCTGAAGTTGTCTAATGGAGACTACTACAGAAAGAAGCCGTCCCAATCCCCCGTGCTAGTGGTGAGTGAATACAGATTACGGGGAAGGGATGTACAAAGACTGACTGGAGGTGGTCTTTATTTGTTTGTTTGTTTGTTTGTTTGTTTAAAACATTCCTGCCCTGCCTTTCCCCTTAAGAAGGACCTAAGGTGACTTGCATTGTTCAAAGATAATAATTAAAACAAAAACAAGTATACATTATGTTTGGCAGTTCTTGAGTTCTTATATAATCTCTCAGCTCATCACATAGTAAGTATTAAATACTGAGATTCAATGCAGATTGGATGCATAGCCTTGAATGAGAGTAACTGGAACAGGGATAAGTTTGTATATGTTTTATAGCTTCTGAAGAGTGAGGAATTGAGAGAAAACAAGAGACAAACCACTGTAAACAATTGTTATGGGAAACAAAATGTTTAAAAAGGTATTGAAAATGATGGGGGAAGTGGAAATGATTTCTCTTGAGTCAAGAAAATGTTATACCTTTTTATTGCTGTTTCATTAATTGTATGGGAAGAAAGAAATTGCAGTGGTGTGCTTGTCTCTGTTCATTCTTCTGGTTTGCACAAACAGTCGTTTGAACAAAATTTCAAACTATATTTTGCTAAAAATCCAAAACCTTTTTAAGAAACTGATGTGCGAAGAGGAGAGAATGTAACCTTAAAAGCCCCACTTGCCTGTTTGTTTGTTGATAACCTTTATACCCTGACTTTCTCCTCAAAAGCACCCAAGGTAGCTTAAGAGATTAAAAAATATTATTCAAAAAGCAAACCCATTTTTAGAAACCCATTCTTAGGCAGCTAGTTACTGAGAAGAAGCTTGCCTGAGGAAAAAGGTCTTTGCTTGTTCATAGAAAGAAACCAAAGTGATCAACCTAAGGGACGTGGGGGGGAGTTCCACAGCTTGGGAGCAACAACACAGAACCCCTTCTGTCATGTCCTCACCAAACACCCATGTGAGGGTGGCAGGACCTCTGAGAAAGAGGCCTCTTCTGATTGATACTCAAGCAGGCTCATAGATATGGTCTCTGAGGTAGCTTGGGCCCTAATTGTTTGTAACTCCATATGATATAACATCAGGATTTGGTGCTATATATGAACCACATCAAGAAAGAGAGAAGCTGGTATGCTGCTTGTAAACATCAGAATAATTTTGTATAAGCTTGTGATTTCAGTTTCATGCCAACCACATGTAATAGTAGTCAACTTAAATGACTATGAGGAAATCCATCCTGTCTGCTTCTGCCCTGCCATCCAGACTGTGTTTTTCCACTCTGCAGAAGGAGTTTATGAAGCAGGTCCAGTCCAGTGGAGTGTTGATGGTATTTTCTCAGGCTTGGGTTGAAGAAATTTATCATCAGGTACTGGAGAGAAACCTTTTGGGAGAGGCTGGATATTGGGGAAGCCCAGAAGAGCATAGCCTCCCACTCATCACCATGTTAACCGGTCAGTACTGGGGCACATAGCCATCGGAATATAAAGCACACCATTGAATAAAGATGTTAATTGGAGTTGCATCCTGCTTGAGTAATTCGTTCCTTTCAGAAATGTCTGACAAGTACTCAGTTGAGTGCATGGCCGTGTTGGGACCTTGGGGCCCTAAAGATTTCTCAAGGATTTTTTTTCATTCTCTAGTAGTCATATAATTAAAAAATTGTCTTCACCTCCCTTCCTGTTCTTTCTGTGGGAGCTCGTACAGTCACAGCTTTATTGTGTGCTGATGACCTGGCTCTGTTATCTTGTAATACAATAGGCCTCAGGAAATCATTGACTACCCTTGGCTCTGCATATAAGGAGGAAAAGTTGGTTATTAACTATTCCAAACCTAAAGTCATTGTGTTTGGGAGGAGGTCTCAGAAATTCAATTAGCCCTTGGATGGAAGTCAGAACAGGTTGGTGTACACAAATATTTAAGGTTCAATGAAACAAAGCTGCCATAAGGCTGTCAAGTAGCAAAATCATCATCCGCCTGCAGAGAGTCTAAGAGGTTGCCAGCTACTTAATCCATGTTTACAATCTTTAAAACTAAACTTGCAACACACCACGCAGAAATCTCGGGTGAAGGAGCTAAATTAGCCAAATCAGCTGTAGATATTTTGTAGAACAAGCTAATGGGAAATATTCTTTGACTACTACCCCCTCCCCCTTCTTAAATCTGAATTAGGATTACCCTCCCTCACTGCTAGGATTGACTTGCTTCATTTTAGATATTGGCTGAAGTTGAACAAGATGGAGGATGAACGTCTTGCCAGGCACTGCTATCCTGAGCAACTGAGATTAGGAGGTTGGGGACAGCTTGGCCAAAACTGGGCAATCCTTCATCCTCTTGATGGATATTTTGGTTGTTTTTGGGTGTACCCTTACTTTGAAAACTGGCTTTTTGATCAGGATGTGGGGGATCATGTGTGTGTGTGTGGGGGGAATCTATGACTCTCGTTTCTCATCCTGGTTTGCAAAGATCAAAAGAAACCCATTTTTGGGTAAATTGTCTCCAACCATTGACCCTCTCCCAGGTTCGCAGGGCTTATATTCAACTGAGATTCCAGGTTATGCCATCTGCTTATCTAGAAGAGAAATATTCCACTGTTTGTCAATCACAACAAATTTGTCTTTTAGTTGGAGCCAGGCTGAGGAAGCCATACACTATGGACTTTATGGCCCCTTCTATATGGAGCCATTGTATTATTGCCCAATATGCTGACAAAACATCCTAGGACATAAATAATAGAATTCTTGCATGAGGACCACCCTTTTTTCACCTGTATCCTTCTGTTCATTGTGGCAACTAAGAACTTATGCCACTCTTTCATAAAAATGGAATGTTTAGTGAAAAACAAATGCGTAACTCAGTGTCCTGTTTTCGAATTCTAATTATTTTTAATTTTATCTTCTTTCTAGCTCTTATTTCAGCTTTGGCCGTATATATCTACCAGACTGATCTTAGAGCTTTGTTTAAATTATATTCCTTAGTAGCATTCCCTCCCTTGTAGTTTTATTTTGCCTGTATTGCCATGTCTCATTGTGATGACTTACTCTTAAATACAATATATTATGTAATGTGCCATATGTGCTGTTGAGGGTCCATTTCAAGGTTCCCTCATTTTTTCTGCTAAGGTGGCTGGCAAGCAGGGAGAAGCACCTTCCTGGTGTTGGCACCTTGTCTTTCATTTTAATTAATGAATCAGTTATGGCCACTCGTTCAGTTTCCTTTAGGAGCCACGTTAAGTCTTCCTGGCCTCCCCTTCAGTCTTTATAACTCATTCATTTTAATATTGCACTGTATTGCTTGTTTGTGCATTGCTTTGAGGAATTCTTGTTAGATGTTCTTTAGAAGATAGCATGTTGAGGGTGAGGACAGAAATAAATAAACAAATAGAACATTCACTGCAATTGCCCAGCATCACACACTGGTCAAATGTTGAAGCCAGAGCTTTCTTGCCTCACATTACCTTGCATACAAATGCTTCTTAAATGGGGGTGTTTCACACATTCATGGAATGGTGAGGCACTGAGAAGGACATATGCTTTGTGGAATCCATCCTTACATGTTTTTTTTTCTTATCCATAATAAACATGCTGTGTTTGTTTCCAGACATTGATGGTTTGGGGAGCAGTTCCATTGGTGGGCAGTTGATGGCTTCAGCGTCCACACAGTCTCCTCTTACCCAGAATTGGAAGCCAGATGATGCAGTTGTGGCAGGTAGAAAGCACACGTATTGTGAAGCATGACTCCCCCCCCTCATAAATGTGTTATATTTTAGATTTCTTTTAAGGTGGTTTTATATTTTCACATTGACTATTTGGTGATTATCAAAGGGTATTTTTGCTGTTCTTTTGGCTCCTATGTGTGCCTCAACTGCATGCTAGATTAAGAAGCCTTCTAGCAAAACATTCCCCATTTTAAGCTTCTGGGCTAGTTTGCATCTTCCTTAACGAATTTAGGATTTATTTTCCTGTTTCAGCATTTTAGAAATCAGAGGGCTTTACCAGGTAGATCATATTTATCACACGATAAATTCACTTAGTATGATTTATTCTTTAAAAATTATATTTCGACACAGAGCTTGGAAAAACTACTTTTTTGACTATCAGTAACTGTGCAGAGTAGGGGTTTTTGATGTTTGTACTTTAGAAGAGTAGTGTTTTTTTCAAGCTGTGGTAGATATAATCTACTTCTAGAACAAACAGTTCTGTTCCAGTATATGTGTAAAATAGTGCAGAGTAATTAAAGCCAAATTGAATGGCAATGTGACCAAATGTTCAATTTCATGAGATAGATGTAGTTTTCTTAACTGAAATATCTTTTCTCAGATTCTGTTCCTTTTATCGTTCATGTCTAGTGGTTGGCCAAATGCTCGACTTTTTCTTTGTGGCCTCAATCAAATAGTACTGTAGATGTGTAGCCTGTTAGGTCTACTTTGGTTTTTATTAGCACTCTCGGATGCATCAGCCAAAGCCTGCTGCAAATGATGTAGGTGTAGAATTAGGAATTGTGAGTCCAGGAACACATTCTGAATACTAAAGTGAAACACACTGTTATTTCACACAAAAATCCACCTTTGTTTTCCCAGGTTTTCCTAGTTTAATTACTGTGCATTAATGTGAATAAAGACCCCCCCCCCAAAAAAAAATCATGGAAACACAAACTACTGAAAGCCAGAATACCTCAGTCAAACAAAGACGAAAAAGAAAAAAAAACCAGATAGTTACAGGGGATCATTCAAGGTAAAATGCATGAGAAATTAACTGCAGGAAGGCAATAACTTACATGTGAGACCCGATGCAGTGGTTAAATAGCAGTACTGCAGATAAGCCTCTGCTCACAACTTGAGTTCAATCCAGATGGGTTCAGGTGGCTGGCTCAAGGTGGTTTCATCCTTTCATCCTTCTGAGGTTGGTAAAATGAGTACCCACCTTGCTGGGGGGCAAAGTGCTCTCTGTGCAATTACTTTGTAAACCACCTAGAGAGTTCTGCAAGCATTATGGGATGGTATATAAGGAAAAATAAATAAATAAATACTTGTTGGAAAATCTGAGAGAATGCTTTGGGTGCAACACTGTATCATTATTCAGAGCTGCGGTATCTGAAGTTGAAATATCCATGTTGATGTTACCCTCTGACAAAAGACAAGCAAGAAGTAGAAAAGGTTAGAATTGGGGAGCAATCACTTTTCTGCTGAAGTTGCTTAAAAGAATGGAAAACTGTAGAGTGCGGGTCTTTTTCCAAAATCTTATCCACGCACGTACTCGCTTTCAAGTCACCCATGTAATGGCAGAAATATGCTTGTGCTGCAGGCTGTCCTATTGATGTCATGGCCCCAGGTTGGCCCTGAACAGATGTCTGAAAGGACATTGTTGCCGATGCCACCTCATGAAGAGCTCTGGAGATCCTTGTCATAACACTCTGGTGACACATTGATTGATTCACATAAATGAAAATCGTGCCTAATTCTGCATTTTGGATTTTCCTTCTCCCTCTGTCCCCTCCCATCAGCATGCCTTTCTTTCTTTTTTATGCAGTTTACTAAGAGCCAAAAGGTACAATCTGTTTCATATTTCTGCTGCTTCAGGTGTTACTTTTGCCCGATATCTGCTAATTGGTTGTTGGAAGAATTTGATCGACACCTTATCGACCCCACTGACCGGCCGGATGGCAGGGAGCTCCAAAGGACTGGCATTCATTCTGGGAGCTGAAGGAATCAAGGAGCAGAACCAAAAGGAGAAGGATGCCATCTGCATGAGTCTAGATGGTCTGAGGAAAGCAGCCCGGCTTAGCTGTGCTTTAGGTAGGTGGCATTAATCGGCACAGGTTGCATTTTTTAGGTGAATTCACACATTGGATGCCATGCTTGAAAACAGAAGTGCAGTAAGTTAAATGGGCTGCTCCTACTTGGAGGAAGGCAAAGAGTAGTCCATGGGCCTTCTGATGCCCTGACCTTACTCCCCACAGAACAGTAGGAACAAGCATGCCTTTATGTACCTCCGGAAGCCTCCGGATGGGCTACTTTGCACCCCTGAGCCTGTTAAAGTCCTAAGGTCACCTCTTTTAATGATGTAGAAATGTTTCCTCTCCTGCAGCCAAAAGTTTAACAATCATGTTACTGAACTTGTTAGCAAAGCTTGGGAATTTTACTTTTTTGAACTGTAACTTCCAGAATCCTGAATGTTCAGGTTTCTGGAAGTTATCGGGGGGAAAAAAGAGTAACTTGTCCAAGCTCTGGTTCCTGATCCTTTGGGGTGGGGCTCTCTTTCTTGTTGTAGGGGTTGCTGCTAACTGTGCCTCTGCCCTTGCTCAAATGGCCGCTGCTTCCTGCGTGCAGGAGGAGAAAGAGGAAAGGGAGGTGCAGGAACCCAGCGATACCATCGCCCAAGGTACAGCAGTGCATCCACTGTCTCAATGCTCATTCATGGACATAGGTCAGTGTTGAGTTAAGTGTTATGACTGCTTAGAACCCTTTTAAAAATGTTTTTGTTTTCAACCTGTCTGTGATAGAGATTGCTCTCTCTCTGTATGTGCGTCTTCTGTAAAGGTCAACAACAGCTGGCTCTTGACAAAGAAATAGAACGGGCAAGCTGGCAGGGCTACTGGCTATGCTGCCTGAGGAATTCAAACAATGTTTTTCCAAAAGCACCACAAAGATGTAACGCTGGGGCTGGGGAGAGAGAGCAGGAAAAAAAAGACAAAGGAGACTCAACTCCCATGGACAGAAACAAGAATTGTAATTTGACATGCACTTACCTAAGTATATGCAGTACTCGTTTCAGCAAGACTTATTCCCAAATAAGTTTGTGTAAGGTTGTGCCAACAGTCTTTGAAAGAAAGTAAGAAAATGTGCCCTAGCTTGTAGTAGCTGAGGATGTCAGGAAATTTGTTTGCCCTACACCCAGCCAAAAAGGAGCCATGTGTTTCAGTGTAGGGCCGTGGAAGTGCAGACTCTGAGTGACTGATAACACTTTGTTTAACAAGATTGGGAAAGATATTCTCATCGGTACCACCAAAGGTGGAAGCTGATGCCTGTGTTTCTAAGCTGAGTCTGCAGTCCTTGCCTTGCAGCTCACTTTAAGCCAGGGTGTCAGGCACATACCGTAGATCAGGATATTATTTTGGAACATTTGTGTTTTCTTCGACACCTCAAACTCTGTGGGGCACAGTTTTATGAAGACATGTGCAGGATTGAAAGGTAGCTTGATATGTTTGTGATTTTTTGAAAAGTGATCTAATAAAGGTGTCACCCACTTTTGTCCCGAAATTAGTTATTCCACCTGAACTTTCACATCTTTGCAGACAGCTGAGCCTCTGAACATTTTTAGTGGAGGGTATGAAAGCTGTTCCAGATGCCTATAGTAGCAGAGAAATCTGAATGGCATGGAAAAACCTAGCTCCTTTCATGCTTTCCAATGCTTTCCACTGATTACCTAGAATTTGGGAGAGGTGCTGGCAAATACAATCCCTTTTCTTCCATCAATTCCATCTTCCCATTGTGTTCTGAAATAGAGTGGGTATGCCTACACTCAATCTGAGGTGCTAAATAAATGGGGAGGTGGTACAAGGAGAGACCTAGAGCAGAGAGCCTGTCTTATATCAAACCTACTAGGCATGCTCTTGTAGAAATAAGCAATTCTGTCTTTCTCACATGTGCTACAGTGAAACAAAAGGTGGAGCAAAAACTGGAGCAGATTGGGAAGACACAAGGCGTCTGCCTCCACACAGCTCATGTTTTGTGCATGGATGCCATTCTCAGCGTAGGACTGGAGATGGGAAGCCACAATCAAGACTGCTGGCCACATGTGTTTAGGTAGGAGCTGGCAACCGTGGGTTTATTTTCAGTTCCAAGAGGTACTCGCACACAGTAGTCTTTAAAACTACAAATAAGTGTTTGATTGTGGGTTGCCTGGTCAACACTTTTGGTGTGACTTTTTTAATGCCATAAAAGCAGCCAGACAGCACACCTGCCGCAAAAATAACACAAAACATTACTCACTTTATTTTTCTGAATCAACAATATAACCAAAGCAATTGAAATTGTCATATAGGGTTTTAGTATGTATGTGGTACTTCACTACGTGACAATGGTAACCTGCCACAGTTGTGCCACAGGTTAAAAAAAAATTTAAAAGGGGGAATAGATCCGTCTTATGCATTTGATTGTCCCTTATAGGAGCCCAGGATGACCACTTTATTTTTCTGAATCAACAATATAACAAAAGCAATTGAAATTGTCATATAGGATTTTAGTATGTACGTGGTACTTCACTAAGTGACAATGGTAACCTGCCACAGTTGTACCACAGATTTAAAAATTTTTTTAAAAGGGAATAGATCTGTCTTATGCATTACCTAGAGCAGAGAGCCTGTCTTATATCAAGCCTGTCTTATATCAAAATAAAAATAAAAATAAATATGGCAAAAGGGATGGTAAAAGGGCCCCCCCCAAGATCTTAATGGTCAGGGAAAGCCTGGCAGAAGAGTCATGTCTTCAATGCTCATTTGAATCCATCCAGCAAGGGTGCCAGGTGGATCTCAATGGGCAGGTTTTTCCACAGGCCCCTTCCAGTAGCTGAAGTTACTGTGCAGAAGGTTGATAGTCTAGGCGGTGTCCTCTAAAGCAGGACAGATACACTTTCTTTCGGGGGACTCCTGCTACAGCAACATGGCAGATACTGGATCCACAGGCAGGCAGATAGATACATCCATCAGAATTCTTCAGTGTTGTCACATGAAAATATATACTAAAATATTTATGAAATGTGAGGGGGCTGTACTCACGTCTGTAATATAGTGTATGGGTTTATATATCATGATCTTCCTTGGTTTTTTTTTTTCTTACATTCTCTTTCCAATTTGGCATTTTAAAAAATTATTACATTGTAATTTAAAAAATATTATAAATGAAAACAAAATCTCTATTTTAAAACTTACTTTTCAACTTTTATCCTCTCTATGCCATTTACTCATATCTACTTGGTACGAAACCATTTGTGTCTTACAGTTATTACCTCTCACATTATGTATTTGTGATGCTTGTCTATTCAAAATGATCTTTCTTTGCCTTTCCCAACATTTTTGTGAAATCTTTAAACATTTCTGAAGCCATCAGTGAATTTTTTGGGAATGTTTTGATTTCTCAGAGTATGCGAGTACATCAGCACCCTGGAACATGCTCACTTCAGCGATGGCACACCTCAGCCACCCGTTACAATTACCCAGGCACAGCAGGCACCAGGAGGGCCACAGGAAGAAGATCAGGCCCCTGACTTTTCCCAAGAACTGAACCCGGAGCAAGAGACTGCACTGAGGAACACACCCGTCATTCAGCCAGTTTCCATTCAAGAGCTCATCAAGGAGGCCAGCAAGGGGAGGGCTTTTGATTTCCGTGGAGGCAGCCTCATGAGTGGAAGTAATGCTGCCAAGGCTATCCTCACTCTTTCCACCCAGGCTGACAGGTATGGACCATAACGCATTGACAGTGAGCTGACGTTTCTTCAGAAAATGGCAGTGTAAACTTTACTGCGTTGGCATTCATCTGTGGTGCTGACAGTCCTGGATGACTTTCATAAATGTGCAAAGACAATAATATATTTAACTGTAGCTTCATCATGATCTCCCTAGATTACGTAAGGGTCTCCCCACCTGCACAGAATTTCCTTCACAGTGCTCAAGTGTTGAGAGTTTTGGCAAGAACCTCCCCTTCTGTTCTGCTGCGCATGCTCAAAGGCCTCACTGTCCTGCTCAGTTCCTTTCCAGCCAGCAGTGATAGCCTTGGAGTTTTTCAGCTGTTCTCAGAATTAGTCAGGGAATGTAATATGCATGAAAGGCAGAAATGTGCAGAAGTGTCTCCTGGATGCTCATCCCCTTCCCTTTGACACATTTGTACATTGTTTTAAACTGCAGTGTAGAACAATTTTGACACATTTGTACATTGTTTTAAACTGTACTGTAGGACAATATGAATGAACAGGAATGAACCTCATTGAGCCAAGGATTCCTGCACTCCTCTCTTTCCTTTCCTACTTCCACAAGTTAGGGAAGACACTTTCATAGCTGCCTTTCCTTAACTGTAACTTTTCTTGTTATCTGGACCTACAAGTGTGGCTAGTTTTAGCTCTGGTTAGTTTGGACAAGCCACCTTCAGTAACTGTGGTTTGAATATTGGCTGTGTTTAATGCATATGTTTTTCTTCATAGTTGCAATAAATAACCACTTCATTGCACATCATATGAAGATCTTTATTGCTACTGTCCAATTCCATCTTTTTCAAGCGCTGTCTCTTTTCTGGATTTTATTAGTTGCCTATAAGGACAGAAATGGAATAGATGATAATCATATTTGGATCTTACTCCTTTCACTCTAGTTCCGTTTGATATGCTAAATCACCATGTCATCTAGGTTCTCTCTGCTTTTGGATTGCACCAGCCCTTAAAGCCATTCTCATAAATCATTATATAAGGAACAAGGGTGATAGTTGTGTCTGTTTAGTGTAGTGGTTCCCAATCTTGGGTCCCCGGATATTCTTGGACTGCAGCTCCCAAAAATCATGGTCAGCACATGTAGTGGTGAAGGCTTCTGGGAGTTTTAGTCCAAGAGCATCTGGGAGGCCAAGATAGGGAGGAAGGAATGGTTCAGTGTATTCCATCTGCACTATGGGAACTGGTCACTTTTTTTAAAAAAGCAGGTCTTAGCTAAATATCCTGCCACTTTGCCTGCAGGCTGTTTGAAGATGCTGTTGACAAGTTGAATCTAATGGCATTGTGTGGTTTCCTGTATCAGCTGAAGAAAGCCTCTCAAGCTCAGCTCTTCCACTCAGTCACTGACACTGTGGATTACTCCTTGGCAATGCCAGGTAAGCTTCTCAGTCAGAAA